TCCAACAGCCATGCATATGGTCAAATGTGTTTATGTAGATGTATAAATTTCAGTCAACCTCTACGTTACGTTGTCAGAGTGGTGTCCTCATGTAACATTTATTATGTACTAGCTCGTAATTTTGGAGAGTTCCATATTCACGTGGTAATTTTTTTTTAAAGTGTTTTCATAGGCATATATATACATTCGCACGTGTTGATAACTAACATAGTGTCCTCCGCATTCCGCAAAGGAAAATATTGCAACCTAATTACTAATCTTACATGTAATTTCACACATATCTCAAAGTTGAATTCTCTAGGCTCAACATAGCTCCGCCACGAACACTATGCCCAGTGAACAGAAAAGTTGGGTAAGTAATTAAGTACATGTATTATAAAATTTAGGTTATGACTATAGTGAATTTGTTAAGACTTCAAGTCATGATGATCTGGAGTTTAGCGGACAAATATGGTCGACCGGTCATGGGATCCGTCCGAACAGCAAATCGAGTATATTGTATATACTTTGTGTTGTTTATAGCGGTCGATTGTAGTCTTTTATAGGTCATCCAGATTCAATAATATATAGAAGTATCAACAAAACTTTATAACTATTTATATGTCAATCGTTCCGTTGAACATATATATCAACCTTTTAGTTTGCATATCGACCAGATTTCAATGCACAATGTACACACCAACAACTTTTAATTGTACCACCTGGCCGGCTTGTTATCCAAATCGACGGCTTCAAGAAAAGATACCAATCCAACATAACTATTGCCACACTAGCTCTAAAAAATGGGGTTAAATTTTTTTTACTGAAGAGATCAAGGATTAATTTAAAGTTTCATGACCCTGACTGGAATGACCTGACCTTGAGCAATCCAAGGCCACGTCTAACAGGCTTTCGACCAATACAAAATACCAGGACCAATAGTAGGACGACAACATAATAGACAGTAGGTAAAAATTTACCACCCTGGTGTAATAAGGTTTTATATAAACATATAGTCAACTAGCTAGCTACTAGGTTAACCAAATTAGATTTGGGCATTTGGCTGATATGTTTCTGTCTCTAGCTAGTCGTTATTATGCATCAAGGTAGTTACAATTCCATCACTTTTTTCACCAACCTTAACCTTCTTCCAAATGAAAATTAGATGGTAAATTATTTAGTACAATTCCCTTTCACTTGCATATATACCATTTCTTTTCTACTTTTCTTTCTCCCACGTTTATTATTATTTTTTCCTGGATCGGCTAATTTTATTCAATTGTTCAGCTGTTGGGACATATCTAAATATAAGGTTTATATGATTGCTTTACATGTCAACCCCTTTAAATTTAAAGTCAATATATATATGTTCTCAAAGTTTGCATACACTTTTTTTACATTACGTTTAAATTAACTTTTAGGGTGTGCCTACGGTGACATGCATGTCATGGTGACTTGCACTTTCCGGTCGACCTCAGTTAGGATTAGGTCGACCTCATTTAGAATTCGGTCGACCTCATATAGGATCTGGTCGACCTCATTTAGGATTCGGTCGACCTAATCTGTTGGTTCAGTGTAAAAACAGTTCGTGGTGCCTACTTTGGATATTCATATCATACAATTGGCTAGATGGAAATTGAAGACTAATGACTTGTTTTGAAGCTGGAGTGTCCCTCTACATATTGAAGTGATTGAGAGCTCGATAGGAAGTCTAGAAGACCATTTAGGAACCTCATCAAAAGGCTATGCCAAAACTGGGAAATTGCCTGGAAATGGCTAAGTCTGGAAACGTGTTTGTGAAGCCTATTTTGGAGCTCAATTCGAGAAGCATGAATGCAAGTCGAGTCGAGGAGCCTCTACCACGTTAAATTAGGTATGTTTTTATACAAATTCAAGGCATTGGATGAAAGATTGGATATCTTTAAGGCTTCAAACAAAAGGGTCGAAGTTGCTACGAATGCTGTTTTTCTGGCAGACTTCGAGCACAAGCAAGCGGCCAGAAAAACAGGCTTCGTAGCAACTTCGAGCCTTTTGTTTGAAGCCTTAAAGATATTCAATCTTTCATCAAATGTCTTTCCTTTGTATAAAAAAATACTTAATTTAACGTGGTAGAGGCCCCTGGACTTGACTCGCATCCATGCTTCTTCAATTGAGCTCCAAAGTAGGCTTGACAACACATTGCCAGACTTGGCCATTTTCAGGCAGTTTCCCAGTTTTGGCATAGACTTTTGGTCAGGTTCAAAAATGGTCTTCTGAACTTTCTATTGATCTCTCAAGTACTTTAATGTGTAGAGGGACACTTCATCTTCAAAACAAGCCTTCAATCTCCAATTTCCATCTAGCCAATTGTAAGATATGAATCTCTAAAGTAGGCACCATGAAACTGTTTTTACACTGAAACAACAGATTAGGTCGACCTGATGCTATATGAGGTCGACCGAAAAGTGCATGTCACCGTGACATGCATGTCACCGTAGCAAAGTCCTAACTTTTAATAGTCAAAATTTCGTGGGAATTTAAATACGAGACAATTTGATTATGCGACTTTAATTTCATTTATTCCATCAACTTGAATCATTGAGTCAGACTCAAATACGATATATGCAGTACTCTTAAATAAATTTTATGTTGACTTTGAGCCGCTGATTATGAGCTCCACTACTATGTTCATAATCGTTGATATTTTTGTTTTAAATGATTTTAGTTTGTACGAATATCTTTTCGTGCAAATTTGTTTATGTTGGGTAAGCACAAATAGACCATTGGGGGACATGGACCCATGGTGGGTTACCTAGGCCCAAGCCCACCTAAGAACTAGGAGAAGGGGATGTAAGCTAGGAGTCAGGCCCATGCAAGGGTGAGCAGGCGCATAACGACAAGAATAGGGCGGGGACCAGGCATCTAGGGGACCAGGGGGCTGAGGGCGTGCCACCTGGCAGAGTGGTCCCTGCGGGCGCCTAGGCAGAAGCTGCCAGCCTGCCACGTGTAGGCCCCCGACCGTTGGGCCGTACCGAGCATTTAATGACGCGCTGACGTGGAGCTGAATTCTAGGAGCCTGGTCGGGACCTCGACGAGTATAAATAGTACTCGGTAGGTGGCATTTACGGAAGTTGGCTTCTCTCACTAAAATCTTACAGAGCACTTATCTCTCTAGAATTTGCACTGACTTGAGCGTTGGAGTGCTAACGGGCACCCAGAGGCCCTTTAGGCGCTTGTCTGTGCAGGATCCGGGCGCTCCTATCGTGGTCACAACTCGTGGTTCGGGAAGAGACGAGATCAGAGGTTCGCGGCTCAAACAGTTTATAATATAAATTTAACATGCACATCGACGTTATAATACAAATTCAATTTATATCTATACATTTTCGTAAAAATTCTTTTGATAATATAAACAAAATTTGCACCTGTGTAAGTAATAAGTATGAGCTTTGTTAACCAAAAAAAAAATATAAGTATGAGCTTTATGAAATTCCTGGCTGACTATATATAATCCATAATATTATTTTCCAGTTGCCATAATAACAGGCGAAAACAGAAAGGCAATGCATGCAACAAGCTAGCTAAGACTAGATAAGAACGCACGGCAGCAGGCGACGTAGGAAGATGGGAAATATATTATTACTATCCATATATAAACAACTTGCATTGTTATTAGTGGAAATTAAATGCCCACAACAGTTATTTTGGCTGTCCACAAAATAAGGAATAGCCATTAATTTCAACACATTAATCATTTTGCCGGCCGGCTGCAATGTGTTCGTTTTCTGTACCTATAATAACCCTTTGGTTTGGTTTGGTTTGGTTGGCTCTTTTTTCTGTGGGCATGTGTTGAAACTGTTCATCATTTCTTTGTGCGGCTATCTATATAATGTGTGTTCGACTCTGTGTCAATAACCATGTGCGCCCATGACTCTGCCAGCGTGCCACATTTCCGTCATGCACACTCTCAGCAGCTACAACTCTTCTACTTCTTCTCTTGCTTCTTATTTATTTATTTATTCTCGTGAAATCATAATTCAAAGTAAGCTGAGCGTTTGAACGACAAAACTATAGTAATGTATTACGAAAATTCATCTTGAATTTCGAAGAAGAAAAAAAGCTCGTAGTCCGCTATTTTCAGAATATTTGCTCGATGTATCTTATAACTTCATATAAGGAGAAAAAAAGCTCGTAGTCCGCTATATATAAGATTTATCAATTTGAGTATATTGTGATTTATTCTTAATGGAAGGGGACCGGAGAGGAACAACATACCGTGTTAGTAATATATCTTATCGTATAGGAGGGTTTTGCTCCTCAACAAGACACTCTTCTCACCTTAAGCCTCTTCTCCTTTTAAGAAAAAAAACTCGAAAAAAATTACTTCTAAAGAGCTTAGGAAACTTACACCGATGATGGTTCCAAATCTTCTCTTCGTCTTGGACTCCCTTGGCCACATTGTTGAAGACGACTACATCCTTTTTTTCCAAAATTACCATGTTGCGTTGCATTTTAACCTACACTTTGACCATTTTGAAGTTTTCGTTGTCTCGAGAATTTCGTATTAATGTGGTTGTTCAAACCACAAAGTCTATATTATACTCATCAAACGAAATTCAAAAAACTATACATTAAATGGCAAGTTCACAACTAATTCTAAATTTCTAATGCGATCTCGGTCGTACCCATGATATAATTTATTAACTAAAATAAAATTATAAACATAAAAACGCTAAAACTCCCCATTCGCTTTCATTTTTGACCCGACCCGACCCAATATTCAGTAATCAAGTCTTCCCTTCAGGCCAACATGTTGATCCAGTCTATTTGGTTTTGGTCCTTTCTTTCCTTTTTCCTACTTAACTAATGACAACAGTGCTCAGTCCATTCCCTTCAGACGCTCTCTCCTTCCGTCGTATATAACCTCTCCCAAAATCCCTCTTTCCACAGAAACAAAAAACAATTCCCCAATTAATTCATCAATTTTCGCTTCCTCCGGAATCAGCGGAGAAAAATCCAATCCCCATTCCCAACACCAACCAATGTCCCAATCCTCCCCTTTCCCCTCCTGCTTCCGCCCCTCCGCCGCCTCCGACTCCCACCACCGCCCGCCATCCCCGCCGCCCCCGCCGCCTCCTCTCTCCGGCAAGCCCAACCTCACCACCTGCTTCTACCAGACCGAGCTCGGCGTTTTCTCCCTCACCTGGTCCCGCACTTTCCTCGGCCACTCCCTCCACCTCGACCTCCTCCCCATCGACCACCACAACGGCGGCGCGTGCTCTCCACTCTCCCTCACCCACTCCATCCCACACCGCTCCGCCATCTCCTTCCACCTCCAGATCAAGCCCTTCGTCTTCTGGAAGAAGCACGGCTCCAAGGCGCTCCACACCCCCGATGGAGCCGCCGCCGGGAGGTTCCAGATCTTCTGGGATCTGTCCCGGGCCAAGTTCGGATCCGGGCCGGAGCCCCAATCCGGGTTCTACATCGCCGTCGTGGCCGACCGGGAAATCGTCCTCCTCGTCGGGGACTTGGCCAGAGAGGCCTGCGGGAAGACGAAAGCGCGGCGGCGGAGGCGGCCGGAGAGGGCGAGCCAGTCGCTGGTTTTGAGGAGGGAGCACGTGTTTGGGAACCGGGTTTATACGACGAAGGCCCGATTCGGCGGCCGGAGCCGCCAGATTTCGATCGATTGCAACGTGGGGAGCGACGCCAGGCTGAGCTTCGCCGTCGAGGGGAAGCGGGTGCTCCAGATCAAGCGGCTGAAGTGGAAGTTCAGAGGGAACGAGCGAATCGAGGTGGACGGGGTTCCGATTCAGATCTCGTGGGATGTCTACAATTGGCTGTTCGAGGACGGCGGGAGCAGCGGGCACGCCGTGTTCATGTTCAGGTTCGAGAGCGAGGAAGAGGAGTACGATCGCGAGGACGAAGGGAGTGGAGCGGCGACGCCGACGGAGAAGGGCGGCGGCGGCGCCGTCGTGCCGTGGCAGCCGCAGGGGAGTAGTAGCAATTCGTCGTCGTCGTGGGGCGGGTTCGGGGTGATGAACGGGATAGAGTGGCGGAAGATGAAGAAGAGCTTGATGATGAGGACGACGGCTGCGAGGAGCTCGTCGTGGTCGTCGATTTCGATGTCGTCGGCGTCGTCGATGGGGACGAACTCGTCGGTGATGGAGTGGGCCAGCGTGGAAGAGAGCGAGTTGGGCTGTGGGCCTCACGGCTTCTCTTTGCTGGTTTACGCCTGGAAAAAGTGACGAAACAGCCCAGATTTTTTTTCTTTTACTTTTTAATTAGCGTTCACATTGATTAAAAAAAAAATCGTTAATTGTGGGGCTATTTTTTTCCCTACTTTCCCCCTTTCTCTTTTTACCTTTGTTAGTTGGGTGAGAATTTTCTGACTAACCACATTTGTTTGATGAACATAGCAACGGATTGATTATAGATTGTTATTATAGTTTGGAAATCAATCATTTCCACACATCTATCTTCTTTTATTTGCTTTTAGGGTTTCTCCATGGCCTTACATCATTTTGAGCAATTGAAATGAAACAACTTTAAAGCGCGATTAACCCAAATCTATCGGTTTGCATAGCAAATTTACAGTTCTCACATCGAAGATCAAACCCCTCGGTTAGATCATCCGAACTATTATAGTTCCATCGTCATACTTGTATCTTTATAGGTCCACCAAAAATCTTACAAACATCTCAGCTTCTTGAATCGTCACAAATAACAAACTCTGATTGTCAGTTGTTTTCGAAATTGAAGTCGGCACGACACCTTCGAATTAAGTGAGAAACGATGCATGTGGAAGGTAAGGTGGCAGAGCGGAAATGGGAGGTTAGGCAGGCGACAAGGGGGCATCAAAGTAGGTACATTGATTCCATTTGGGGTTTCATTTAGGTATTTGCTATAATATTTACTTGGCATGGAGTTAGTTTAACAAACCTGAATTAATCGCAGAAGGGCCACATGGAGCCACGGTAAGCTATCGGCCAGAGGATTCCTCCTCCATGGATGAATTTATTTATTTATTTTATTAATAATAGAGTTGGGTTATCAATTTCAAAGGGTGGATGAGTTGTACGTACAGCAAAGATTGTTGGCGACGAAATTTCCACCCTGATACAGGACAACATCCATGTGAATTGTGGGTCCTTCTCTTCTCCTCTATTATTATTTTTAATGGGAATTAGGAAAACTAAATAAATAGTTGTTTTGGAGAGGGGACATAATAGAGCTAAAAGATAATCCAAAGGGGTCAATCTACTATTTGGGTTGACCGGTTTGGGTTTGGTTTTGGATCGGGTGCGTTGGATCGGTCGAAAATGGCAAAAAGACAAAGCCTCCCTCTAATATTAGAGGTAGAGCAGAGAAAATAGACCAGACAGTTTGAAAAATCACGGACCAAACCGTACCCCACAGTTTGGTCCGGACTGTAGACCGTTAATAATGTTCTGGTCTGATCCATGGTCTTAATTATATGATGTTTTGATCTCTTGGTTTGGTTTGATCAAGACAGCGGTTTACCGCACCAAATCGTGGACCCACTTGACTTCCCAATAAGTGTTAGCACCCTACTCGACCACTCTCCCCATTCTCCCAACGAGACTCAAGTCTCAACCCTACTTTTGAGAAACTCGTCCCCTTTTTCTTCCACGACCACATTTCACGAGAGAGTAGTGACGATCGTATCTACATATGACATTATGTTAATGTTTATGACGTTATGTAGCAAGTTGGGATGCTTAGACTTTGTATTTTTGTTGTTTACTGAGATTTAGGGTGTCAAATTCTTCATGCATGTTGCAGTTTATGTTTTGAGGAAAAGAAAAAATTTCTCGATAATTGATTCAATTTTTTGTGTGGTTAACTAACAAATTGCTCATTTTTTGTTCGCGTTCTATCTGGACCAGACCGTACTAGACTAGACCACACATGCGTGGTCTGGACCGTACCGTATATTATGTGGTCTGGTCTATGATCTAAACTCCAGCCTCTTGGTCTGGACCATAGACCGTATATATGGTATGGTCTGGACCAAATCGTACCGTTTTCCACCCTAATTAGAGGGGAGGGGTGGAGTTAATGATAGAATTTATAAGAGAGGGACCAATCACTAATGTATAAATGGGGGAACAAAGGTTTGAAGGTAGGGGGGACAAAGGCACCAACTTTAGGACGACATTATGGTACCCCAAAGGAAACGGCAACTGAACCCACTTATTGAATTTTTAAGAGAAAGGGTAGGAGCCCCTAGGTAGGACTTTTGTTACTGTATTTATACGGCTTAAGCTTTGAGTATTGGGTTTGTGATAAAAATGGTCACATAGATTTGGGTATCTGTGAAATGATAAACTTTGTTTAGAATGTAATAAAAGAATCATATATACGTAGTTTGTTATTTGAAATATCAAGTCGGCTAGCTGACTCACTACAAAATATAAACCTACCTCTTTGCACATAGCAAGTTGATTGTGAATTTTAGATGGAAATATGGATGAAAAGAGAAAGAAGAACTATCTTGTTGTTCGTGATGATACATGTGTGGTTTTTTGCTAGGTTGTAACGTTTGTGATAATTTTGTTGAATAGCCAACACTACGTGACCATTTTGATCAATTACCCCTTTAAGTATTGTTTGTTTACTTTTATACTTTACATCTTATCTACATGGTTCGAAAATTGTTGAATGCATGCAGTAATACTTGTCATGATTACGTCATTGGATGATTTACTTTTTTGATTGACCCAATAACTCCTAGTCACACGACTTAAAGATGTTCAATTGAAATACTTGTTAGTCATACACCCAACGACGGTTAGATCAATCTATTTCAGCAACCTAACCACCTGATTGTGCTAAACGTAATGGTGAGAAATGGAGTGGATTTATTTTGTAGATTGGTAGATCCAAGTGACATCTAACGCTTGGACTAAAAGTAAACTTTCAACACCCCCCATAAATTAATCAGTTTGCTGGATATGGAAAGGCTAAATTTTGAGGAAATGGAATTCCAATTCCCAAACTTTCCATGATTCTCATGTTTGGAAGTAAAAAGTAAAAAGGAAATGGAATTCCAAAAGGCAAAAAGTAGGAAATTCTAATTCCTACCAAAAGTGGTCGGAATTGGTGGAGGGGGTGATGGAATTAGTGGACCCCACATTAATTTTGACTCACCTTTACAAGAAAGCCCTTACTACTTTTGGATTTGAAATTACTAATACCAAGGATATTATTGTAAAAGCACTTGTAAGAAATCATTTCCATTTTTTCCAAACATAAAAAGATGAAATCATTTCCCAAACTTTTGGATTTGTTCCAAACATAAAATTTTAAAATGAATTCTCACTTGAATTCAGATTCTCACAAGAAATGGAATTCATTTTCCAACAGAATTATATCCAAACAAGCTGTAAATGAATTTGGATTATTCGGGAATTTATTGAACTGAAATAATGAGTTGGATTCAAATTGTCAAATCTATCTAAATAATATAGACAAGCTAATCAAATTAGAGAAAGAGGGGGTGTTTAGTGATTGAACACAGAGGTGAAAGGTCGTTATTGGGGTTTAGTATGACAATAATGCCACTTGTTTCTTTGTCGTCTTCTTCTCAACCTCTCACTGACCTTGTTGCTCCCAGGCACAGAAGAACAGCAAGGGGGAAAAGCCGAATGGAAGTTTGTTCATTGGTTTTGTCCAGAAGGAAAAATTAGTTGGCCAAAACCAAAAAACAAAGAGGAGGTTGAATTGAACCAATCAAATGTTCAAAATGCAAGCAGTCCAAAAAAAGTGTCGCATTAACAACCAGGGACTGATGAGACGAGACGAGACGAGAAGATAAGTTTGTTTGCCGAAGTAAAAGGATAAGTAAGGCGATGTTTTAAAAGGTCACTTATGGGAGTAGGCATGGTCAAACTCAAACGTGGGCTGGCCCGACACCAGCATCAAACGATGAAGATGTAAGATGTGCATAATAAATATGATCACAAGACAAAACATTGTTTTATGTTGTTTTCGTAAAGAGAATCAAGATGAATTAGTTATTATTACGGTGAGAAATGAGCCTATAACACAAAATGCAGAGAGTGGTGATAATGTAACACAAAGTTTTTGAATGAGGATAATTGTCCTAAATTTATTGGGTATTTTGTTAGGTCATAATTTACCATGATATGATTATCAGTTATCTTAATGAGGGGGAATGTTATTTTAATTTTAATCGTAATAAATGGAAAGGAAGAGCTAATGTCTTACCAACTACTCAATTTTCTTAATTTTTTATTATGAATTTCACGTAATATTTTTTATACGTCAAAATTGATAGAGCTTATAGCTCCTGCTCGATTCAACCTACCTCCGCCACTAATAACTGTTGTATTAAGTGTAGATTGTAATATTCTTCTAAGACACATGTATAAGTATAACACGTTGGAATTCCGTTTTCGTCGAGTGTGCACTTCTACTTCAAAAAATTTTACCACTTGCTAAAGTTCACACCGTTACTTCCCAGTTCCCCCTCTCCTCTGGAGACTGCCCTCTTATTAAAGCGTCGAGTGCGCTTTCGTTCCAGGTGGGCTGCAGCGAGCCCCAGGCTCGAGCTCCTTTTCGGCCATTTTCGTCGACATCTCTTACACCTCTCCACTGGCCCAGAACTCGATTTTTTCCAGCGCCAGCCCATATATACGCTTTTGCCCAACCCGCATATTTTAAGCACATTACATAACGGTTTGGGCCTTAAATGTGGTTGATTATTATTCAGACTTCTTTCCGGCTAGCAGGCTACGCTCACTTACTATTCGTTCTCCTAACAATTACTAAGCTTTGCCTAAAATTTTTTGTTTCCAGAAATTGGACCGAAAAAGATAATGTTTAACTGTTATAAATGTTAGTTAAATGTTGATAGAATTGTTCATGTTATACATTTTTTTTTTTGCTTTCACAGGAGGCTAAAAAGCCACAGAAAGAGAAAGGAACAGGAGGGAGAGAGGGTTACAGAGTGGGGGTGGTGTCAACAGTACTTATGATAAGTATGTTTCTAGGAAAAGTTTGACCTCTAAAATCATCACCTAGGATAGTAATGAGCCCTTGAGGGGGTAAATCCAGCTCACATTTACCATAGGGATAGACGAGACTGTGCTTCGAGAGCCAGTCCGCGACTCTATTCCCTTCTCGATAAGCGTGAACTAGCTTTACCACCCAGTCTTGAGCTATCCTCCGCCTGATAGCAGTCAAAAGAGTGGCTTGAGGGTGAACCAGATCATTTCTCTTCTCTATAAGCTGCAGAGCCATCTGAGAGTCGGATTCCACAATGAGGGTTCTGCTGCCAGCCTGCCAAGCTACACCCAGACCATGATAAATGTCCCACAGCTCCGCCTGAACCGCCGAGCAAGTTCCAAGGTTGACGACAAAGCCCTTGAGCCAAGAGCCAAGATGGTCCCTCAACACGCCGCCTGCTCCTGCCGGTCCCTGAGTCCCATTAGCTGCGCCATCAACATTAATCTTTGTCCAACCTGCCGGAGGGGGAGTCCACCCAATTTCTCTGAGCGTGCGATGAGCTGGTGCAGAGCAGCGCCCGAGGATGTCCAGCGGAGCCATCCAAGCTTTATGCCACAGAGCTGCCTTGATCTTAATTGCCTGGGTCAAGGAGGGCGGTGATAAAGTCTTGTCACTCCCTTTGAAGACGCCCTCGTTCCTGTTCTTCCACATATTCCAAATCGCAATGCTGAAAAAGGCTTTCCAGGGGGTCTCGATTCCCGTCATTTCTTCAGTCTGCAGATTTTTCGTTAGCCACTGCCTGAGCTGCATACTGAAAAATTCTCCCTGCTTCTGCGAGGGGACGGTGCGCGCCCAAAAAAACGCCGCAGGAGGGAAATCTCTGAAGATGTGGAGAGTGGTCTCTTCCTGAGTCGAGCACCTGTAGCAGAAAGGAGAGGAAGTAATTCTTCTTTTAACCCGTTGCACGTTACTACTCACCTTATCATGGGCCACCACCCACATGAAGCAACGAACTCTCTCCGGGACTGGGAGACTCCAGATAGCCTTCCAAAGGTTATTTGGCTCACTAGCTGTGGGCTGTTGCGTGAGTTGATAGGCACTTTTAGCTGAGAAGTTGCCATCCGAGGTGGGATGCCAAAAAAGAACGTCATTCTCCCCAGACAGCGGATCGACAGCTCGGGCGGTTATTTGATGGACCACTCTCTCCGGAAGGAAGTCTCCGAATTTCTCGGTGAGTCAGGACCCTTCCTCATCCACGTAATCAGCAACCATCGCGCCTTTCTCCTCCTCTGAGATTGGGCTGGTGGCCATTTCCTGAAGAGGAACCTGCGAAATCCAAACATCAGACCAAAAGTGGGTGAGATTTCCTCTATGGATATTCCACCCACAATCTTTTTTCAGCAAATCTCCAGCTTTAGAAATGCTGTTCCAGGTAAAGGAACTTCCCTTTAAAGGTTTGATAATGTCGAGGTTTTCCTTGCCCTTGCCATACTTGGATCGCATAAACTGAGCCCAGAGAGTCTCCTTCTCTGTCAGGAGTCTCCAACCGCACTTAGCTAACATTGCCAGGTTGACTTCTCTCGCAGGACGGAGTCCAAGTCCTCCCTTCTCCTTCGGAAGGGTCAACTGTTGCCATCTCACAAGGTGAAGCTTCTTTTTCTCTTCTGTATCTCCCCAAAGGAACCCGCGATTAATTCTATCCAGAGACTTACAGACCATTTTGGGCATAAGCTCCACCTGCATGGGATAAACAGGGATGGACGCAGCAATGGACTTAACAAGAGTCATTCGAGCTGCAAGGGAGAGATTCTTAGCTTTCCAAGGGGCTAGTTTCCTTTGAATTTTGAGAAGGAGGTCCTGATATCTGCCCCGGGTCACTCTGCCATGAATTGCCATGACCCCGAGATATCTCCCAAGATCCACCGTTAGAGGAATCTCCATGCGAGTGCTCAAGGATCTCGCTTGTCTTCTGCTGATGTTGGCGGAGACGAACATGGCCGACTTGTGGGAATTCACCCTCTGCCCTGAGCTGCTACAAAAATCATCCAAACACTGTTTGATAATTCTGACCTGCGAACCCCCTGCTTCTGCAAACAACACCAGATCATCGGCAAAAAAGAGGTGAGAGAGCGCCGAGCTGTCCTTGGATAGCCTGAGCGGCCGCCAAAGCTTATCTTGAACAGCCCGATCAATTCTGTGGGACAAACGTTCCATACACAAGTGACAAGACAAAAAGGTAAGGGGATAGGGGGTCTCCCTGCCGAACCCCTCTGGTAGGGGTGATGGGTTGAGATCAGGGGCGGAGACACAATATTAGAAGGGTGTTCCACGGCACACCCTTGGATCGGGGCTAGAACATGAAAAAATAGGGGTATTAATTTATGCTATAGCTAGCATTTGAACGTGGAACCCCCTTGCTACTAGCTTTGACATCTTCCACTAAACCACAATTACTTACGTGATACACTAATACGTTTTATTGCATATATATAATTTACCGTTTACAAATAATAAGTAAATTAAATTAAAAAATCACATAATTATATATGCTTATTCAAGAAGTAAACGAAAATTTAACCCTAACAAGCGAGCTTCTTGATAGTCTTGATGATGAATGTATTTTACAGACTTTTCAAAATATGAGAACCCGTCGTGGGTCACTATAAAAAATTGATAGTAATTTTAAATTTTTTAATATGGCACCCCCTTACCCAAAATCCTGGCTACGCCACTGGTTGAGATAGCTCGCCGTTCCAGAGGAGGCGCATTCTGTTATGCTCTACGCAGTACATGATGCACCCTATCCACGAACTGGGTAATCCCACCTCCTTGAGGGTGTCCCTCAGGAAATCCCACCTCACGCAGTCATAGGCCTTCTCGAGATCGATTTTCATCACCATCCCTCCCTTTTTTCCTTTCTTCTTCCGCAAAGTGTGGAGAACCTCCTGCAGGACAATGATATTATCGGTGGTCTGCCGCCCCGGGATGAAGCTGCTCTGGCGAGGAGAGACCAACTTCCTCATGATAGGTTTCAACCTGTTGGTAATGGCCTTCGTGATGGCTTTCAGACAGACATTGTTAAGAGATATGGGTCTGAGCTGAGACTTTAAAATACACTAACTTAAACATTAATTTATTATTGACCATATACAATTTCAAATTCATATTATCCATCATCAAAATATATGATAAATCATTCAAACTGTCTCACAAAATAAATCATAATATTTCAATTCAAGTTATTAATTAGGGTGACAATCAGTAATGGACTACAAAAAGCCGACAAAGAGGTTGAGACATGAAAAGAGAGGAAGTATGAATAAAATATGTAATTCATCTTTGATGGTATTATAAAGTATTCTTTTCCAATTTTTGTTGTGATTAAAATAGTGAACGAGTGGACTTGTCAAATCGAGATGGTTCATCTGATTTCATGTTGAACCCTGAAAAACATTTGTTTCATCACTAACCGTCCAAACAAATGAACTGGATCGCTATCGTAACCGATTTGACAGTTCTACCGGCCCCGATTTATCCAATTGGATTATATAACAATGCTAATTTTCACTTCCAGATCCTTTTTTTTTGTCCAAAATATATTAAGAAGACTCACGAAATTAGATCAAATAAAATGATAGTAATTCTCCGTCAAAATATTAATTCGATACAATTTGGCCACCCCTATCCTCACAAATCTAAAACAATCTCCAATACTAGCTTTTAATTTTCTACTTTTTTCCCGAACCGAAACCCTATTTGCTACCACATCAAATTCGTAATTAACTAGCCAAGTCTGTAATAATCTTGCCTGCTGAAAGGTAGACAAACAAGAATTAATTTTGGGCTGGACCAAAGCCAACTAATCCCTAAGACCCTAACCCTCTGTTCTTCCCTGTCATCCCTAAACCATGTCTTCAGATTGCAAAAGCCGCCGCCGGGAGAACAAGGGCTCTGAAGAAGTAGACCGGATCTCGAACTTACCCGACGAGGTCATCCACGAGATCCTCGCTCTCCTCAACTCCCCCCGGGAAGCTGCAAAAGCCAGCATACTGTCTTCAACATGGTTTCGGCTCTGGCGATCATACCCAATCCTCGAATTCCACGATACCCAGTTCAAATCGACGCAATCGGTGAAGGGATTCGTCTCCACCGCCAGGGAGAAGTTCAGTCGCAGAAGCGACGGTACCCTAATTCCGATGAAAGCCGTCAGAATCAAGTTCAATGTTCAAAAGAAGTGGCCCTTAGAAATCTGCTCTGCTTTCCTCGATGACATGTTGGAGTTGGTTGCAAACAGATCTCACCCACCGCAAGAGATTGATATTGCAGCCGAATTCGATAAGAACATTGGCAGAACCCTCAATTTCAACGGTACGGGGGCATACAGCATCCCACGGGGCTTGTTGCTGCCCAAATCCAAGCACCAATTTCGCCTCAAATCTCTCAAGTTGACCAACTGCAGCTTTGATCAGTTCAAGGATGTCAATCTCGACATCAACCCTTTTGTGAGCCTTGGCAGCTCCCTCCGGGGGCTTTCTCTCTCCGAACTCAGCTTCCCCGCCGGGGAAGGCGGCGGCGGCGGCCTGATTCTGAATAGCATCATCGCCGGCGCCTCTTGCTTACAGTACTTGAGTCTGTACGCAATTGTGGGGACTCGGAGGCTTCGGGTTCGGAATCTCCGCAACCTGAGGAGCTTGAGGTTTCTCCAATTCCTGGTGGAGGATTTGGAGATTACAGGAGTCCCCTTCCTGGAAAACTTGTACATGACTGGTGCGCCATTGGGAGGTGATTTTGTGGTGTCTTCGATGCCAAATCTCAGAGTACTAACGATCCACAGTGAGAAATTCAGATTGTCAAATTCTGCCCACTAAATTTAACTGCGAGTTTTACCAGTTTCATCCTTCTCTTCACAAAATCTCACTGTGTTCTGTGTTTCATTTCCAGGGGCATGCAAATTGACGGACCAGAAGTTGGATGAATTGATTTTGAATTGCCCATCTTTGGAATCACTTTCTTTGGGAGGAGGTCTAGATAAAGTACGAAAATTGAAAATTTCCAACCACGACAAGCTTGGGAAAGTCGATCTGACTTGTTGGGATAGCTTGGAAGTGATTGAAATGAATGCTCCAGAACTTCATCATTTGCGATACTCGGGAAAGATGGATTTATTTATTAAAATCTTAGGCGAGGCTAGTAGCTACTGCAAAGAAGCTAGTCAATCTCTTGTCGCACAATACCGGACTCGCGGAAGTGATGACCGCAATTTCCATACCTTTGAGAAAATTTCTTGTGCATCTTGTCATTAACCAGTTGGTCCCAATAACTCGAGTTGTTGGGAGAGGGTTCTGCATGGATTTATTTATTAAAATCTTAGGCGAGGCTAGTAGCTACTGCAAAGAAGCTAGTCAATCTCTTGTCGCACAATACCGGACTCGCGGAAGTGATGACCGCAATTTCCATACCTTTGAGAAAATTTCTTGTGCATCTTGTCATTAACCAGTTGGTCCCAATAACTCGAGTTGTTGGGAGAGGGTTCTGCTGGATCTTATATCACACTCTAACACGCCCCCTCAAACGAAAGCCAACCCATGAGCTTGAAGTTTGCACATGCCCACCATACCATGTGCTTGAAAGACAACGGTTAATATTGGGGGTCGTGGAGATTCGAACACATGACCTTTTGGTTCGAGGCTCTGATACCATGTCATTAACCAGTTGGTCCCAATAACTCGAGTTGTTGGGAGAGGGTTCTGCTGGATCTTATATCACACTCTAACACAGCTAACACAATTTTGGTTTCGTCTAACTCTTGAGTTCGACTATCTATCAAATTATATGGTACGTTAACATATCTTTCGCTTAAGTGTGTTTCAGTACGTCATTTTTGGCTAATCCCATTGGAATATATTCAAGTTGGTATCGGTTACAAATACGTAAATGCCTAGTTGCACAAAATCGACACCACGTATTGAATTTTTTTTGTATTATTGTAAACTGATTACTTATTTTATAAGTGTTGCTTATTTACTATATTGTGTTATTTGCAGTGTGACTGGAAAGAAGTCCAAGAGAAGTTGCCTATCCCGAGAATTGAACATGTGAAACTCACGAATAATTTTTGTAAACTGTGTGGCAACGGTGTTTTTCTTGACGGCTTATTCCAGAATTTTCATCCAAACTATTTAAGTATTGACCTAGTGGGTCTATCCTCAACATTTAATGAATGCTTATCATTAACTCCCGAGGTATGTATGTTCTTCTATTGTTTACATAGCAAAAAAACTCATTTATGTTTTCCTCGTTCGACTTGAAGTCTCTACCCTTTCATTGATGGAGCCCTTAATCTTTAAGTATCGCATAGGAATACCTATTAGTCCAAATTCTAACTCGGAAACATAATGATCTTTCGTAGATTTTCTTTAGTTACAAATCCAAGAAATATTTCATTCTATCTTTGAGCATGAGACATTAATCTTTTTCTAGTAGTTTTGTCTCTACCGGTTTTATTAACTGAATAATGGAGTTGGTTCGTTTCTATTTGTCGACAGTGTATATGAAAACAATTTATGGAGAGAGATTATGACAAAAATCATTGTGGAACTAGGGCTGTTAACGGTGCGGTTTCGGTTTTAACCGCACCGCCAAGTCGGTTAGCCGAGGATGATGAAGAGCAGAATTCAACAACCGCAACCGCAACCGTAGCTCCGGCGGTTAGCCGAAAACCGCAACCGCAAGCGTCGGTTCGGTGAGGCGGTTAGCCGATAACCGGTAGCAGCTAGCTTTACGGAGAGACTCGTCAGCGGCAGCTTAAGGAATGACGACGAATCTCTGTTTCCGACAAGGACGACGGGCTGACGACGGCGTGAGGATGAGACAACGACTGGATGTGAAGAAGAGGTCGACTGGGCGATAACAAAAAGCAACTCGACGGGACGCCGGCGGGAGGAAGAGATGACGACTAGACGAGAAGACGATGTCGTCCGGCACGAGGATGGAAGCTGGTTGCAGCAGGAGGCGGAAATCTGGAAGGGAATGGAGGAGGCAGGGATGGAGGAAGTTAGGTCATGGGATTTGGATATGGAATCGACGGATTGGCTTTGCGTTGTGTTTTGACGGTTTTTGCGGTGCACCGTCGGTTTCACGGTTAGCAACCGAAGACCGCCCGGTTAGCTAAATCCCCCAATTCTCCCAACCGACGCCGACACCGCCATCAGTTTTCGGTTGTCGGTTTCGGTGAATAACCGCCGGTTTCGGTTCGGTGGTCGATCAAACCGGATAACCGCCAACCGATTATCACCCCTATGTGGAACCATATGTAAGTGTTGGTACCATCAACTCAAAGACATGAAGATTATAAAGAGAGTTAGAAATGGCAAAATAATGGCAGAACATGGAGATCAAGTGATGGACATTTCAACTGACAGATCTTCGCCTTTCGTCGAAACCGAAGAAATTCTGTTCCTGTTGACGTGGGATTAAATTAGAGTAGCTTTCCTATCAAAATTCATTGATTATTTGCACTCTTCCCTTCCAACGGAATGTTGTGCTTAGATAAGTTAGCTTCTAAACATTTTGGGATTTGCACCGCGACTGTAATTTGGATACAGGGGATATTCAATTGCTGCTATCTTCATTGTCTCAGGGATTTTGACGAGAACTGTATTTCCAATCTAACTTATAGGCCCAATGGGTGAGACTTCCATTCTCTTTTTCCATGTTTCTTTATTCCCAAGTCAACTTCAATTGCAGAACACAAGGTGTGCATTACAGGCTGCAACTTCTTGATACACGACCTGCTTTGTTGGAGTTCCTGCAACAATGAACCTGCTCTTTGGCAAACAATCGAGAGTGCATGAAAACCCAAAAAGACACAGCACAGCAAGAAAGAAAGACAAATTTCACCATCATTTTCTCATAACTAATCATATCACATTATTCTTTCTATTTTTGTTTGTCTCAATATGAATACCAAACAAAGTCTAAGAAAGTAACCAAACATTGGAAATTGTCAACTTCCATAATTTCTCAAAATAACTAACTAAACATGTTTCTGTTTTCCATTTTCATATTGTCGTGGTCGTAATAAAACACAAATGCAACTATACTATTGTCACAAATGCAACTATACTAAACAGTTCCTAATAAAACACAAGAAAGCAGGGGGGAAGATAACTTATAGACCATAGTACAAAGGCATTACTAAAAGAAACTTGGTATTCCTTTTTGTCTTACAGGCTACAGGTCACACAAACACTACAGAAAGTCGAGTTGTTCCTCAGCACAGAATATATAGTTGGTGGGGGGAGGAGCCTAATCTCTAATGAATCGAAAAGGCTTGCAAATTAAGCAACCACTTCCTTCTACTTTACTTTCTGATAAGAATGCCTTTCTTAAAGAAAGGCCGTTCCTAACCTTCTTTTTGGCCCCTCAGATTATGCAGACCAACTCACCATAGTTTCAGGAGAGGCTTTGTCATAATTAACTGATGAACAAGAAAGATGAACAAGTATCTTTTCCATTTATACAAGAAACCAAAAAAAAACCCTCAGAAACGCTGCAACAAACAAACTTCTACAGCAGCAGTTCCCAGAACCCGCCGAACATCATTAGAAAGCGCGGCGTGAGGATAAACATTAGAAATCTGGGTTCTTTTTCCCCCCTCCATGTCTATAGGTTGATTGGATTCACTTCAGTGAAAAACCTCTGTGAGACCCTAAACATGGAAATTGAGAAAACCAGCCCTGTCCAGTTCTAGTTAAGAGCATCAACACCATCAGCTCATAGGATCTTTCCAGTACGGCGTCTGATTTCGGAACCCGAGCAGTTTTTCGTCAATGTAGTTGGTGCGGTTGTGGCGGATACAAATCTACTCGAACGGCTCCTCAACTTCTTCTTCTCTACTTGCTGCTGCGACCTGTCTTCTGACCTAACTTGCCTGACTTTAGCTCCATTCAGCTCTGCTGGAAGGACACAGTTGCATAGGAAGCCTGTAAAATTATCCAACAACCCATCAAGAGCATTAGAATATTGTTCCTGATCTGCTTTCTCTCGAAAAATTGCTCTACATGTGATTTCTGGTTTGCTTTGTGTTGAAGAAATGCACAACAAATGAAAGCATAGGCAAATTGTTAAATATGGAGCCTGATCAATGGAGCCATATCCAGTGGTACTCCCGTAAAGAAAGAGAATTTCACTACTGAAAGGTCGGTCCTTGAAAAAGAAAATGAGAAACAAAAGAAAACAATGTTCTTCATTCTTAGACTTCTTATCAGCACAAATGAGTAAGGAAAAGTAACCAGAGATGAAAGCTTCAAAGCAATTATGCTACAATAGATAGCAACTGAGAATAAATGTGCTCCAAACCAATGTTAACCTGCAGAGGGATATTAGCTTTCTAAACAGATACATTGCATTTTCCAGCAGTAGACAGATAAACCATTAGAATATTTCACCAGTTTCCAAAGTTCAATTGGCTCTTCAGTTGCCTCATTCAGTTAAAAATCGGACCCCAGGAACTAGTGCACAAATGCAGAATAGGAAATTAGGTAGGTGCAAATAATTTTTTTTACCTAAACGAGCAAGTCGGTTGACCCAGCTAGGGATTGCTTTCCCAGTTAACTTGAGACACACATCATTACAGAAGTGATTGCAGTTCTTGGTGATAAGATGGTAGGTATTCCCAGAATACTCTTGTGCCATTTTCTCCATCATCGACCGAACTTCCTTAGGACCCAGATCAGTTCTTCCGATGAGTATCGATTTCCTGAAAGTGAAACCAGGGCACTGCTTTGGTTCAACCTCAAAAATCCCCGTCGTTGAATGGTCATGAGCTCCAAAACCATATTCAACTCCATGAACTACAAACAACCCCAACCACAAATAAAACATCACAATCACCATAGAGCCCTAAACTTTTCCAGCTGATAGATCAAACCAACCGCAAAGGAAGTCAAGAACAGAACATGTTGCTCAAAAGTTACACTACAAAGTTATTGTCAAAGCTAAAATCGTGAGAAGCAGAGCTATTATTATTCAAAATGGGAAAGGCAATGAAATAGAAGGAACCTAACAACTCCAGTTGAGCTGGAATAGCCAAAAACAGAAGGAGAAAATTCAAATAAACAATTACAATCAAAATCAAAACCCTATCTAATCAGTTGACTCCATGGCTCAGCTGAAACAAAGACAACATGGACAAAGACCAACTAATTGACCCGTTAAAACCCCTTAATTTCAATTCTTCGCTGACTTTTGCGACTACTAACTTAACCAAAGATCACCCGCAGCCATTTTGACTGCAGACATGAGCAAATTAAATATTAAAAATTTTCCCACCTGACCGGAAACTTCATTCTTAATTTCTTTGCAATCGTCAAGGTTTATGAATCATCAATTCATCATCCCCACGAAAGCTAACAATTTCCTCTTTCCCCATCCCACCAAATCAAGACAACACCAAGAACCCAAACAGAAATTGCAGAAAAGAGCAGCAGATCTCAGCTAATTTACGTTACATGAACATCCGATAAAACCAAATAGCGAAAATGGGGGAAATGAAAATTTCTAACCTTGAACGCCAGAATGGTAGATGCCGAGGCCGACCCAGTAAGCGTAGCCATTCATGGGAGTCAAATCGTAAACATTCAAGTAAACCGGCACCGAACCGGTCTTCTTCTTCGGATGCAGAAGGATCATTCTACAAAACATTTTTGCCTTCCCCTGTAAATCTATCGATGAACCAAATTGCCAGAATCAACCCAGATGGAGGAAAGAAATAAACTTCAAGGAATTTCTTAACATGGGATTCGAAATTCGATCCGCCTAAAACCCCCCTTCCTCCAGAGAACCCGCTTTCTTCCTTTCTTTCTCTCTCTCACGCGCGATGGCCAAAATTTGAGGGGTTCGAGGGAAATTCGAAGAATTCCTGGATTTTTTGTTGGGAAGGGGAATTAAAAATGATGCGGGAATTGGGAGCCGTGATCCGACTTCCAGCATATATTTTTAAAAAGGTAGGGGATCAATTGATAGTTTCCATGGAAGGAGGCACGGAAAAGTCGCAGGCCGGCGGCGAAGTAGAGAGAGAGAGAGAGAGGAGAGAAACAGAGAAGAA